GGCGGCAGCGGCAGCTGAGGGGCCGCGGCGGATCGCGGTTCCAAAATGGGGCCGAAGGTCGGCCAAGCTCGGAGGTGCGCAGCTGCATGGCAGGCGGGGCGGCACCCCGCAGGTCCTGTCGGCTGGACCCATGCTTCTGTGCAGTGTGCATGCGGCAAGTACGACGTGTGGATTCCTGGGCAGTTGACGCCTTACATGACAACTTTGACCTCTACACCCGGACACGGCGGGCCCTGTTGGCTCGGTATCGCACGGCCCGGCCGCGGCGAGGTGCTGCTTGCCGTTGCCATGGCCCCGCCCCGTCGTCGCCGCGCCCCGTGGCATGCACGCGCCCCGTGTGGTGGGCCCCTGCTTGCGTGTGAAATCGGATTGCGTGACACAGCGACGCGACACGCCGTGCCTGGGGCAATATGCTGTCCGCCCAGACTTTACAGCTGAGGACAAGGTTGCAAGCTACTCGTGTAAAACAAACAGCAGGCCAGCGCCCATCAGGAACGCTATACACAAGATTGGTGTTTGACGAGAGAGGGACGAAGAACAGCAATAAGCACAGCAGTGATGGACAAGCGCATAATCCATGCACCACAGCAAAAAAAAATCACCGCAAGCCGCCGCCCTCCTGCTGATCACGCACGAGCTTGCGACCAGGGCTCCAGCCCCGACCGCCGCCGCGGGCCGGGCGCCGGGGCGGCCGCTCGGGTCCCGCCTCGCTCAGCGGATGCTGCCGCCCGCAACGCTCGCGGCCGTGCACGGCCCCGCCGCCGTGGCCAGCGGGACGCCCCTGTAGCAGGCGACGCGGTCCGCGTTGGTGGCGAGGTCGGGCTGCACCGCTTCGAAGATCTTCTTCTTGGGGTTGAGCAGCTCGTCGGGCTCCCCGGGGTAGCCGGCGGCAGTGACGCGGTCCCCGGGCTTGGAGCCCTGCGGCGGCTGGATGAGCTCCACCTGGCAGGGGAAGGGGGGTCAAATTGCAGAGAAAAAGGATGTGGGTGTCTGTGAGAGAGAAAGGGGTGGCCGGTGACCTGGCTGGACGTGTTACTGATGGGCAGCGTCGGCGTGGCCGCGCGACACGGCAGGCAGAGGGCTGTGTGGCGGAGGAGGCGAGGTGAAGGGGCTGTCTGCAGGGAGCGCAGCCCGGGCACGCTGAGGGGAGGCAGGGCCGGAGGAGACATGTGCTACAGGCGTGCCGCCCGGAGCGAGGCCGGGCGCGGGGGCAGCCGGGCGCACCTTGCCGCTCTCTGGGTGCGTGGCTGCGAGCACCATGGCCTGCGAGGTGACGCCGCGCATGGCTGCGGGCTTGAGGTTGCAGAGGACCACCACGGGGCGGCCCTGCATCTCGTCCTCCGGGATGTGCTTCACCAGGCCGCTGACGACCTGGGGTTGGGTGAGAGAGGGTGAGAGCAGAGGATGATGGAGTGTGTGTGTGTGTATATGCGTGCTTGTGTGTGTGAGCGTGTGTGTGTGTGTGGGGGGGGGGGTTGTGCACACATGCATTTGTGTGTGTTGTGTAAATTGTATGTGCGTGTGCATGTGATTGTGCATATGGATGTGTGCGTTCTTGTAAAAATGCAAGCGCCGGCCGTTTGGTTGGTTCAGGGGCCACGCTGCCCCGAGCGGTGACATCAGCTCCATGCCCCCTGGAAGCGCACGCAAGGCCAAGGGCGCGCCTGGGCGCAAGGAACCCGCGGCGGGCCCGTCTGGCGCAGCGGCGCGACCTCGCGCGCCCCCGCACCTGCCGCGGCTGGTCCTCGCCCACGTCGATCTCCTCCACATAGAGTGAGTCCGCGTCGGGGTGACGCCACGCCTGGCGCGCGGGTGTGGCGGGGGGGCAGGGGAGGGCGCGGGGGGCGCTGTTGCAAAGAGAGCCCGCGGCGGGCTGCAGCGATGGGGTCTATAGCAATGCCGTGAATACGACTAGTAGAGGAATGAAGGGCTGCCTTCACTATCTCGCCCTCCCAGTTGCAGTTCGGGGGCCGCAGAGACGTTGCAAGCGGCTCACAAGCGAGGCGACGCCACCCGCGCGACAGGCTCGCCGTGTGCCGGCGGCCCAGGCGGATCGCCCTGCGCCCCAGGCTGCCACCACGGTGCTCAGCGGCCCTGTGCGCCAGGAGGCCAGCCGCGGGTGCGCCCCCTCACCTTCCGTATGAGGCCAACCCGGATGTCCAGCCGGCTGATGTCCACAGGGGCGTCCTTCTTATCGCCGCCGCCGCCGCCGCCGCCCTTCTTCGCCCCCGCCCCCGCTGCTGCGTCGCCCTTGCCGCCGCCCTTGCCGCCGCCCGCCACCGTCGCCTTGGCGTCCTTGCCGCCCTTGGCGCCGCCACCCGCCGCCGATGACGACGCCGCCGCCGGCTCCGCGCCCGGCCCCGCGGCCGCGTCCTGCTTGCCGCCATACCTGTCGCACGCGCGCGCAGGGGTTGCAACCCAGATGGCTGTCAGCAGGCGCAGGCAATCATGTGTGCGTGCCCGTGTACTTGTACGAGCACATCACAGCTCTCACAGGGCACGACGGCCGTGGCAGCATCAGCACAGGCGACCAAAGCCGCTGGCGGCGCTGCGCGCTGCCAGGGTGTCTGTAAAATTTCTCCCGCACAATGAGCAGCGCGTGGGCGCCGGGCCCCCTCCCCCCACACCCACCGCTGCCGCAGCCCCTCGATGACGTCATCAGGGATCTCCGCGATGAGCGGCGCCGGCGCCCCCAGCCTGTGCCCCGGCGCGATCAGCGTGTGCGGCGCCTTGGCCCCCGCCAGCAGCTCGTCGCTCAGCAGCGCCGCATCCTGGGGGGATGGATGGGGCAACGCGACGCGGATAAGGAAATAGATGGGGAGGGGGGCGGCGAGGCGGCAGGATAAAAGAACCGAAAGCGCGTCAGAGAGCAAGCGGGTGGGCATCAGCGTCGATGCGGGGTGCTGCTGGCGATACGGTGTGGGTTTGAGGGGGGAGGGCTAGTCGCCGCTCCCCAGGCGTGTCCACCCCTGGCGCCAGGGGCGGCGCCGCCGCCGCAAGCACGCCCTAGGAGCCGCGGCGCTTGGGGGGACGCAGGCGCGGGGGCCAGCACGGCGCGGCGCTGTGCGGCGCGGCGCGGGGGCGCGCGCCTGCGGCAGGGCGAGCTGCGCGAGGATCTTGTCTGTGAGTGAGGGCACGTAGGGTGCCACCAGGGCGGCCAGCAGCCTGATCATGCCCAGGCAGGCCGCCACCAGGGTGCCCGCGTGCTCGGGGTCCGTCTTGATGACCTGCGGTAGAGTCAGGGAGCGCGTCGAGTTTGGGGGGGATGGGGGGCGGGGCAGGATGGTGGCAGTGGCGG